ATCTCTATGCTAGTCACTTTGGGAGCTTTGAAACTTTTTTATGCTTATTCTACGTGAAAAATCAAATCTAAAAATGTGGTTTTGCGTCATTCAAATATTACATGAATCTAGACAATTTTAGTTTTTGGCCGATAGAAAAAATCCCGCATCGCTACCTGCCATCAACTATTTTTAAATCAGAGATGAAGCAAATATTTTTATATCGTTAGGCTCACCACATCGGCATGCAAAAAGTTATGTATCGGTTTTGGAAAATGTTGCTTCGTTGTTGAGAAAATTAATGTTTTTTTTTGAAACAGGTAGAAAGAAATAAAGAAATGCCCTGTTATTTTGCAGTGTTTGCTGTCAAACTTCCATTTTTTTGCAAAACCAATCCCATATTTGGAATCGCCATCAAAAACTGAATTGACTGATGTGTGTTTCAGGTTATTTGGGCAGTAACTGATTTTTCAGCAAAAAACCTCAGTCAAAAAGTTCGAGATAAATCAGTTGCTGCCCAGATAACCGGAAACACACATCTGTCAATTCAGTTTTTGAGGACTAGAGATATGCGCTCGTTTTTTAACATTAGGCTGTTTTTTCAAGTTTTAAAAATTTCAGTTTTTTGAAAGTTGCACTTTCAAAAAGTTCCTTCGGAACCTTAAAACACACATATTCTTGCTCAGCATGATGCGAACCATGTATAAATATCGCACAGAATTTAAATTTGCTGAAGTTTTATTGTAGAGCACCTTCCTTTGAGTTACATTTCTGGTATTACAGAAAACTGTTTGATTAAATAAACACCAAGTGAAACATGCAGTATTTGCCTCATTCTCTTTATGCAATTTCCAAGTAGTAGATATACTCTACTGATATGGTGACAATTGAGAGAAATGTGCTTATTTCATGCACTTTTTCGCTTTAAAAAAGAAATTTATTGTGTGAGTATTTTGGATTTAAAGAAAGACCAAATGAGATTGCATTTTCAGTTATCTTTTTTCCTGACCTCCTATAATTACCGTATATTTCACATTCACACTATGAATGGCGCCTTAACAGTGAATATAGGAAGAGTAAGTCGCATCTGACTTTTATTTAAATCAAAAGCCTTCATACAGTAAAATTTCTTTCCCTAAAAACTCAAAAAAGTTATCTGAATATTTTGCTCTCATTCTATGGCAAAAAATCTTTCTTTTTTCTTAGAACTTTTGTTGTTGTTCACATATAAATATTAATAACAAATTCCCAAAATTTATTATAATCATGTGATGTCTAAAATATTTCCTCTAATAAACGAAGCACTTCTCAAGACACCCCGCTTCTTTGGAAATGGGTGGTTGAACTGACAGACAAAAGAGAAACAGGAACTAGTGTATGAGCGGGTGTTCGAACGCCCGTTCAAGCTGTCCGTTAGAACGGGTGGTTGAACTCCCTCTGACATCGACGAAAAAGTGTAATAGTGAACCAGTAGGTGAACGGGCGTTAATAAACCATGTGCAACGGATTGCTGAACGCCCTACAGTTCTTGAACCCCGTTCGAACGCCTTGATCCGTTCCAGATGGCGACGGAACTAGTTCGAAATCGATCTGAACGCCCGTTCAGTAGGTTTTTTGGAACGACATTCTATCACCCGTTCGTTCGCTGTTGGGTATATAGCAAAACTACTAGTAGTAAAAAATGAAATACTCTGTAGTAACTGCGAAATCGCGATCGGAATATATTCTGGAATGTTCCTTTAGCTTCTTCTCAATAATTTTATCGGTCTTTTATTTTAAACAATATATTTTTTATCTATATTTACTTCCACACCGACCCTTTAACAACTTTTTCTGCGAGCTACCGTTTCTTTTCTTTAGGATGAAATCCTACAGACCTTGTAGGGTAAGCGTAGTGAGATATCTGGCTTACTACAAGTGATAACAGGGAGGTAAAAAGTCCACAGGGTTAATAGAATGAAAAGTCGTGCGAGATATATCCGACAACACGAAGGAACATTTTCGGTAAGGCAACTTGTTGTAAATACCTGCAGGATATAACTAACATCCACAGGATTTTTGCTAATTCCTGCATTGGCATACAGGATTTCAAAAAATGTTTTTCAGTGGGTAGGCAGGTAATGCTGTATTAGAATAGTATTTTCCAGATTCTTCTTAATTTGCTCACGAGATCAGATAACATCAACGTGAGAGTGAGTAATTACTAATCAGTGGTTTAATTTTGATTTATCGCTAATTGGGTAAAAAATTACACTATACGAAGAAATAAAATTGCTTATTTACTACCATTTGGATCCAAATGACCTCTGTTGGTAGATATTTTGCAAATATCTACCACCTGTGAAAAGAATTTTCAGGTCTAACTATTGAGTTTTTGCTGAGAGTTGTTAACGCTCTGGAATAGATCGCGATGTAAAATTTCTGAACTCAACAAAATCTCATCATTAGTGTTGAAAACTTGTTCATAAAGATAAATCGAAGACCAAAATGAGTATCAGGTTCATGATCGGCATAAAAGATTGACTGTACCATAAAGTATATGGCTACGACGATCATCCTTCGATATCATGTATAGTTGGTGAAGTTTTCATTAAAATTGGATGTAAAGTAGATTAGTTTGCATAGTTAGAGGACATGTCCCTTAAGGAAATAATTTAAAGAACCAGAAATGTTCAGTGCAGCTCCACTCCACTTGATTTCTTTAGCGATATCGCCAGATACAAGAAAGCCAACAGAAATTATGCACAAACTCAAGCGCCCCCGAAACCCAACAGTAGAAAGATTGGAAGACCCTATTGGGAAAAGAAGAAAAAATGCGCAACATTCCTTGCCGTCTGTAACAAGCGAATCAAGTCCATGTTCCGCAAAGAGCGACTCACCAAATGAACTAACAGCTGCGCCTTCAGGGTGAGTTAATAAATAATTCGATAATCGAGGGTGTCTCTTTGTAAAAACTTCCCTGCATTCTTTCAAAGCAACAAAAGGTAATGTATAAAAAAGAGCGACTTTTCATTTTAATCCACTGTTTTACCTCTTGTTCGCATAAAGGACAATCCAGAAATTTACTATAACTTATAAGAAACGTTCCACTAGAGCGTAAAAGGTAATGCTCTATCTAACTAAGTGCTCCTGAGTGGGACGGCTATCTGTGACACAGAGATTTTCCTACTAATTAGGTGAATGATTGGTTTACTCATCGAACAGCAAGTAATAAGACTACCAACGAGTTACCAGTCGTAACTCCTTCTTTTTCATGTAAATTAATTCTAGTACTTTCATCAATCGATTTAGAGTAATCTAAACGAACGCACAGACTTCGATTTCTCCTGCTGAAATAATTGAGAAAAGTTATTTAAAATAAGACCATCCTGTTTTGGGACACTCATTCTATACGATAATAAGAGGTGTTGAACCTTTTCAGGTAGTTGGACTGCAGATTTTACACATTCATCTAGTTTAAGAGTTAGTATGAGAAATGAACCTATCGACATAAATGAAAAGAACAAGCTGTACGCTTATAATAAAATGGTCTGTCGTTGTTTAATCGTCTATGTACGAGTTTATCAATATAAACCGGATCTATTTGTTGCCAAAAATCAATTCTCAGTTTTATAGAAATGATATTAAAACTTTCCATTATCGTTTCTGAATTTAATAAGATGTCGACGATTCGATACATATTCGTAGCATGGGATGACTCGTCAATGTTTAGTTTTAATACTTTAATGCTTTCGAAATAATCGCACGCTCTTCTTAGTCCATCAGCCATTTTTGAATCAAATAATCTAACTGAAACTTCTAATTTAAGCATATCTTTCAACAATAAGACATCAGCAGCTTGTTGTATTATCTTCGTCAGATCTTCGAGTGCTATTTTTAAAATTCGAATATTTGGTAAAAGTTTAAATATATGTAGAAGAATGTGCTTATCATAACGATAAGGATATCCTAATTCAATGATATTGTTTAATCGTACATGATTTGTCAGTGAAATGTCAGTGTTAAGTACTATTGAACCAAAGTGTAATTTTGTTAACATTGGAAATCTTTGTTGAATGAATACTAAAAATTTAGTCGTTATCTCTCCTTGAATAATGCGAAGTTTACGTACAGATGTCCATTTATCAGTGGCCATAATCAGTGGGGTTTTCATTAACAAGTGAGCATAACTAAGGATAAGACCAAAACCATATTTAGCATCAAAAGGCAATGAATAGAGATGATAATGACGTATTACTCGTGGCCGTTTAACTTCATAACATTCTATTGAAGAATATCCTTTTGTGCTTGATTTAAATGATGATTTGATTTGTTGTACATCAACTGCGTATGGGACTCGTCGCAAGATTACCAGAATGGAAAAATCAAACGTTTCCAGTACCGATAATGTTGAGAATAAGGTTTTTTCTTCCTCATAGTTCGGGAATCCATCAGATGTTCCAAAATTTAAATATAACGATAAATGAGTAAGACATTTGAAGTTTTTTATTAAATTTCTCCATAAAGAATACTCAGCGTTACCAATGTATAGTACAGTTATTAATGAAAAAAATGTTATTTGATTACATGAAACAGATGTCGTTGAATAGTTTTCAACTGTCGTGTCTAGTACAGCATGAACTAAATAAAAGTCGATTTTTTTCATTCAAGAAATAAACGAAAAAAAGGTAATACTCACCTAATTGCCGAACTCGTAGGCGTTTCAGTGACGGTAAATTTGCAATTAATAAATACAAATTGTAAGGACAATCTAGAGCAATGTCTAACTGTCGTAATCGCTCGTGCAGTTCTATGCTCAAAAATGGTATCGGACACATAGTCCATCCTTCCAACTGAGGCTGCTATTTCTAAAAAATGTATTCAAACATTTAAGGTGTTTTTGACTAACACCGGTTTCTCGATGAAGACCTGTGACATAACTTCAGGCAGAGAAAGGGTTGAAAACGTCTTTAACAATTGGATCGAGAAAAGTCTCAACTTAATTACAGTCCCTCACAGTTATTTTCATATCATTTCGAAATTAACTATCGAAGGGCTTAATCATTTTCCAAAATGCAAACCACTATCCATTCATTAATGGCTTACTACAAGTGATAACAGAGAGGTAAAAAGTCCACAGAGTTAATAGAATGAAAAGTCGTGCGAGATATATCCGACAACACGAAGGAACATTTTCGGTAAGGCAGCTTGTTGTAGAAACCTGCAGGATATAACTAACATCCACAGGATTTTTGCAAATTCCTGCATTGGCATAGAGGATTTCAAAAAATGTTTTTCAGTGGGTAGGCAGGTAATGCTGTATTAGAATAGTATTTTCCAGATTCTTCCTAATTTGCTCACGAGGTCAGATAACAGTCTCTCAAAGATGTTTTAACATTACTTCACGAGAAGTTGGCGAAATCGCTTTTTCGTTTGTTAGCGAGATTGTCCGATCTTTTAAAGTTTGATCTGCTAGACAAAAGTTATTTTGCCTCTTAGGAAAACCTTTCAGCATCTGGTCACCCATCAGGTGCTCATTGTACGGAGAGGAGATTTATATTTAGAGTTTAACTCTCTATATCGTAAAGATAAAATTGCGCAAAGCATTAGATAGTTAAACAGTTCAATTCAGTTAAATGTTGTGAATGACCAGATGCCGAAAGGTTTTCCTAAGAGGTAAAATAACTTTTGTCTAGCAGATCAAACTTTGCTGTTTCGAATGCCCTGAAAATTAACCATTTGTTGAAATGGAATGAAGCATTATCGATGGAAAGAATACACTAATAAATGGATAGTGGTTTGGTTTTTGGAAAATGATTAAGCCCTTGGATAGTCACCATCTAGATAAATAACCCAAAAAATTGGGTCGTTTTTGATTGGGTTTCAAAGCTGCGAAATGCAATGAGAAAAAACTATGGTCATTTTTCTCGAAGGACGAGTTTTCTCGATTTTAGCATCCTTCGCGTAGTTTTCGTTTTTCACCGTGGTCATGCCTTTTTGGTCATGTTTTTCACCGTGGAGAGGTTTTAAAGGTGATTTTCGGATTCAGCTCGCCCTCCTCTATACAACCATATGTAAATATTGAGAAAATAAAATAGTGTCGTAACTCTGGATTAACGGCGCTTTAGATCATAAGTTACCCTGCCGTCATATCGAACAACTTCTTAAATTGCTTAATACGGTAATTTTAATTTAGAATAAAAAGGAAATAATCAAAGAAACTTTCGTAAAGGAAATTTCGCCCTTTCCCCATAGTTTCAGTTTTGCTTCCAGTTTGTACATTATGTCTGATTTTAAAAGATTCAGTATTTTATTCTTGTTTTAAAAAAATGCACCAAATAATTCTAAATAATTTTCAAATTAATTTTTTCTGCCTACAGTTTTAGTACAATGTTCAATTCAATCAAAAAAATGTTCAGTGTTCTACTTAATACATTTGACGATTGGTGGATATACTGTATCCGTGTAAGAAATGATGAGAAACTTAGAAACGTATTAGTTTTAATCACACGGCTGATTTTCATCATTGCATCACAGCAACACGTATCAAAAACATACTTCAAAAACGGGAACGTTAGGATGCACATGTAATATTCGAAACATATCGATGCACTTTATTATCCGTGTAATCTGACAAAAATAGTTCATAGGTGTCTGGCAGCAGTAAGATTCCATCAAGTCCGATTGATATAGTCCACGAACCAACTAAGGTAGATAATATCGGATCGTAGATTCGAATACCAAATCCGGTGACAACTAACCATACTCTACCACCACTATCAACTGCGACTTGAGTGGGCACTTCCGATGAGCTCGTTGCTGTGGCCGGATATTGCGTGTATGTCCAGTTATTGTTTCGGAATTTCATTGAGTAGAT